CTTTCAGCACCCTTAACAGACTACAGTTCCCAGGATTCTTTGTGGGGAGCTATGTACAATGCGGATGTGGCCAGAGAGAAATAGTCTAGTTTCCCCCTCCCTCTATTAAAATTACCCTAGTGTACCACTTGGAGTGTGGTTCCTTACACTCTGCTGCCATACAGACAAGTCTGATTCTGAAATCTATACAGGCTATTCCACATTTACAGTGTGGTGTAGAGAGCCAGTGTGGTGTAGTGGTTAGGAGCGGTAGATTTGTAATCCGGGGAATCGGGTTTGCGTCTCCGCTCCTCCACCTGCAGCTGCTGGGTGACCTTGGGCCAGTCACACTTCTTTAAAGTCTCTCAGCCCCACTCACCTCACAGAGTGTTTGTTGTGGGGGAGAAAGGGAAAGGAGATGTTAGCTGCTTTGAGACTCCTTAGGGTAGTGATAAAGCGGGATATCAAATCCAAACTCCTCTTCTTCTTCTTCATGGGGGGCTACTTTCCACAGCACAGCATCTCTAAAATCTCATATACCTCATTTACTCGAATCTAATGCTCACTTTTTTGGCCAAATTACATTGCGAAAACTAAGGTGCGCATTAGATTCAATGGCACATTTGCATTTGCCAGAAAGTACTTTTTTGGTTTCAAGGTTCTGAAAATTAAGGTGTACGTCAGATACGGTGGCGCATTAGACTTGAGTAAATATGGTATTGGGAACAACATTGCAAAAAGCTTTCAACTCCCAACTCTCCGCAGACCTCCGAAGTTCAGTGCAAGGACTCCTGGGATTGCACTTGCAAAGGCTTGTGGGATTGCTGGGCACTGTTTTGCAGTTTTCACGCTCTTTTAGGGCTTTCCCATGCCGCTTCTGGGTTTGTGGCAATGCACACATGTGCAGTTGTGTGTGCCTTGAGCACCTGTAAATGGGGAGTTGCCTATAATGTATTTTGTGTACGTAAATAATTGATCACACAATAAATAATAGCATCACACAAGGGACGCGGGTGGCGCTGTGGGTTAAACCACAGAGCCTAGGACTTGTCGATCAGAAGGTTGGCGGTTCAAATCCCCGTGACGGAGTGCGCTCCCGTTGCTCGGTCCCAGCTCCTGCCAACCTAGCAGTTCGAAAGCACATCAAATGCAAGTAGATAAATAGGTACCGCTCCAGCGGGAAGGTAAACGGCGTTTCCGTGCGCTGCTCTGGTTCGCCAGAAGCGGCTCAGTCATGCTGGCCACATGACCCGGAAGCTGTATGCCGGCTCCCTTGGCCAGTAAAGCAAGGTGAGCGCCGCAACCCCAGAGTCGTCCGCGACTGGACCTAATGGTCAGGGGTCCCTTTACCTTAGGATCACACAGGAGCTGGGGTTGGGGGTTGGGCAGGTCTTATCAGTGCTCATATGGGGCGATCCAAATGATGTGTTTTATAGCTGCCCCACAGTGTTACGAAAGATGCTGGGACCATCGTGTGTTTTCAGGAAAAGTTTCCCTTCCTTTCCTACAGGAGGAGCTGTTGCTCAGTAGCAGAGCATCTGCTTTGCATGCAGAAGGTCCCGGGTGCAAACCCCGCCGTCTCCAGGTAGGATTGGGGAACGATGCTAGTTTTTTAACCCCTGTAGGGATGCTGCCCTACGGGGATAGCTAGACTGAGGCCTTGACTCTGGCCACATTCGCACCCACACATTTAGAGTACTGTGGTAGCAGGTTATGGCTTCTCCCCCCCCCCCCAAATTCTCGGAGCTGTAGTTTATTAAGGACACAGAGTTCTTAGTAGCCTCCGGTTCCTCTTCACAGGGAGCTCTGGGAATTGTAGCTCCGTGAGGGGGATAGGAAGGGGTTGCTAAAACTACATTTCCCATATACAGTGGTACCTCGGGTTACATACGCTTCAGGTTACACACGCTTCAGGTTACACACTCCGCTAACCCAGAAATAGTGCTTCAGGTTAAGAACTTTGCTTCAGGATAAGAACAGAAATCGGGCTCTGGCAGCACGGCGGCAGCGGGAGGCCCCATTAGCTAAAGTGGTGCTTCAGGTTAAGAACAGTTTTAGATTAAGAACGGACCTCCGGAACGAATTAAGTACTTAACCCGAGGTACCACTGTATTTTTTGGTGTGGGGAGCCCTGACTGTTTAAAGTGGAATCATAGTCCTTTAACTGTGGTGTGAATGTGGCCTCTGTATGAGGCAGCCGTCTATGATCCTGTCTAAACAAGAACTATGAGGACTGGAATACAGCTCTCTCTTTGTTTTGGAGAGAGGAAAGCATGATAACGAAGTGAGAAAAGTGCAAGAAGTCCGTCTCCAGGCAAGGCTGTTTGGGTCCCCTGTTCTGAAACCCCGGAGAGCGGCTGAGCTGGATGAGTTCCTGTGAACTAGGCCACATCCACACCATCCACATTTAAAGCAGATGGGCTCCCCCCAAAAAAGAATCCTGCAAACTGTAGTTTGTTCAGGGTGCCGGGACTGGCAGCTGTGGGAGGGGGAAACTACAGTTCCCAAGATTATTTGGGGTGGGGGAAACCATCTGCTTTAAATGTATGGTGTGGATGTGGCCCCCGTCTTCGGTCCTGTGTTGTTTTGGGCAGCAGGTGGAGTATTTCATATTTAACCTTCCCCTTGCAAAAGGCCTCTCTGAACCCAGCAAAGCAGAATATCTTTGAGAAGGCTAAGCTTGAGCCCTTCCGTCTGATGTGCTAGGTTTTTTTAATGCAGGGAGCTATTTTGAAGACATGTGGGGAGCATTTGTTTTACGGACCATGCTTATAACCATGCTCGCAAGCAGCTAAAAACCAAAATTACGGTTCTCAGATCGGTTTGCAGAATCAATAAGCGTTGCCTGCCCCACATGCTTATGGTCCAAAAGATAATGGACAAAAAGAAAAGGGGTTGTGGAGAGAAGGAAAGACAAACCAGCACAGGCAGTACTTTTTGGAGTTTGCATAATTATTATTTTTCTGATAGGAAGAAGGGAGTAATATATATTATTAAATTTTCTGTTTTACAGTTTAAAGTATTCATTTCTGCATCCTTAAGATATCGATGACTTCTCTTTCCATGGTTCATTTTACATATCATTAATCCCTGTGGGTGGCGCTGTGGTCTAAACCACTGAGCCTTGGGCTTGCTGATTGGAAGGTCGGTGGTTCGAAGCTCCCGTTGCTCGGTCCCTGCTCCTGCCAACCTAGCAGTTTGAAAGCACGTCAAAGTGCAAGTAGATGAATAGGTACTGCTATGGCAGGAAGGTAAACGGCGTTTCTGTGAGCAGCTCTGGTTCGCCAGAAGCGGCTTAGTCATGCTGGCCACATGACCCGGAAGAACTGTCTGTGGACAAACATCGGCTCCCTCGGCCAGTAAAGCAAAATGAGCGCCGCAACCCCAGAGTCATTCGGCGACTGGACTTAACTGTCAGGGGTCCTTTACCTTTACCTTTGATCCCTGCATATTTTACAAAAACTATACCATTCAGTATTCCATTATTGTTGTTGTTTAGTCGTTTAGTCGTGTCCGACTCTTCGTGACCTCATGGACCAGAGCACGCCAGGCACTCCTGTCTTCCACTGCCTTGGTCAAAATTCCATTATTACAACCATCTTAATTTATACTTTATATAATTTGGAAGACATCTGAAGGCATCCCTGTTTAGGGAAGCTTTAATGTTTAATAGACTATTGTATTTTAATATTCTTTTGGAAGCTGCCCAGAGTGGCTGGGAAAACCCAGCCAGATGGGCGGGGTATAAATAATAAATTATTATTATTATTATTATTATTATTATTATTATTATTATTATTATTATTATTATTCTGTTGATTTTTTCTTAATGCTGTGTCATCCTTACCACAGTTATTTCCCATATATTCAATGAACGTTTTCCAATTCTTCTTGTTCTCTTGTTCTATAAGTTAAATATTCAAGTTGCGCATATTCTGTCAACTTAAGTTGCAATTCTTCTTTATTTTGGACCTCGCTCATTTTCCATTGGGGAGCTAACAAAACCCGGGCCGCAGTAGTAGCATACATAAATAAGCTTTTTTGACACCTGGGGATTTCAGTCTAAATTATCCGCAACAGAAAGGACTCTGGTTTGGCGGGGGGGGGGAGTACTTTTAAACATTTTTCCAGTTCATTATGGATCATTTCCCAATTCTCTTTTACCCGTTTACAAGTCCACCACATATGAAAGAATGTTCCCATAGCCTCATTGCACCTCCAGCGCTTATCCGAGTATGTTGTTCTTTAGCTGTGTGTTCTCGGACTGGACCGATAACAGTTCAGGAGAATCTTTGACTATCAGATAAACCAGGCTCCCTCAACCTCGCCCCTCCAGATGTTTTTGGCCTACAACTCCCATGATCCCTAGCTAGCAGGACCAGTGGTCAGGGATGCTGGGAATTGTAGTCCCAAAACATCTGGAGGGCCGAGGTTGAGGAAGCATGAGATAAACTGTATGAATGAACCCTGACTCTGGATGGAATCGATGCGCCCTCCTCCCTTTTCTTTCTCTCTTTCTCTATCCGTTTCCCCAATCCACCAATTTTCTCTCTCCCCCGCCCCAGCTGCCTAACCAATTCAGGAGGAAGGCTGAAGATGACAGCGGTGGACGCTCTGTCCGACAGCTCAGACGCCGTGGAGATGGAGGACACGTCCGCTTCCCACTTCCAGGTGGAGAAGCATTCGTGGGAGGGGCTGCGTGACATCATCCACAGCAGCCGGAAGTACACGGGGATGATCGTGAACAAGGCGCCCCATGACTTCCAGTTCGTGCGGAAGACTGAAGAGTCAAGCCCTCACTCCCATCGGCTGTATTACCTGGGTAAGATTGGATTGGGCTGGGAACCAAAGAGTCGGAGGCACCTTGTGGCTCAGTGGAATTGCGTATAATTGAAAACCATTGAAAAAACCTGCAATCACCCTGTTCTGCCCCAACCCCCGTTCCACTCTTTTAGTGACATTTCAGTTACACCTTTATGATGTTTCCAGGTTACGTCTGGGTTCAGTGTGATGTGTGTATACGCATGCACATGTTGAACGTGTGTAAACGGAGGGCTGCCTGTATTTATTTACAGTGGTGCCTTGCAAGACAAAATTAATTCGTTCCGTGAGTTTTGTCGTCTTGTGATTTTTTTTCGTCTTGCGAAGCACGGTGTCGGGAAAGTTTTGGAAAAGCTTCAAAAATCACCCAAGTCTTCAAAAACCTCAAAAAAGGCTACCACACCGCGTTCTATGAGTTGCTCCTCGAAGTCAAGTCGCAACTGTATTAACGGTGTTAAGAAAAAGGAAACAAACTTGCAAGACGTTTCCGTCTTGCGAAGCAAGCCCATAGGGAAAATCGTCTTGCGAAGCAGCTCAAAAAACAAAAAACCCTTTCGTCTAGCGAGTTTTTTTGTCTTGTGAGGCATTCGTCTTGCGAGGTACCACTGTACTTTATATTTATTTTAAAATGTGCATCGTTCCTTTTTGAGGGGCTTCTTCCATGGAGCAGCTTACAATCTTAAAAGCAAAACCAAACCCAACTCCACCTGACGAATGTGGGAGTTCTAGGAGTTCTGTGGGTTTTCTCTCGCTTTCTCCCTCCTTCTCCTTAACTCTCTTGCTAGAGGGTAGATCTAAGGCATGGGTAGGCAAACTAAGACCCGGGGGCTGGATCTGGCCCAATCGCATTCTAAATCCGGTCCGCGGACAGTCCGGGAATCAGCGTGTTTTTACATGAGTAAAATGTGTCCTTTTATTTAAAATGCATCTCTGGGTTATTTGTGGGGGTTGCCTGGTGTTTTTACATGAGTAAAATGTGTGCTTTTATTTAAAATGCATCTATGGGTTATTTGTGGGGCATAGGAATTCGTTCATTTCCCCCCCAAAAATATAGTCCCGCCCACAAGGTCTGAGGGACAGTGGACCGGTCCCCTGCTGTAAAAGTTTGCTGACCCCTGATCTTATGGTTTGGAAATAGGCAATTTTCATTTATGTGTGGAAGCCTTGGAACCAGACCCCCCGCCTAAGGTGCGATCGTACTGTGCAGGACAGCTAAATAATAAACAGCATTTTGAAAGAAATTCAGAAATACTCTTGCAAGAGCAAGAATTTTAATTGCTAAGGTATGGGAAGGAGATTCTGCACCCTCGAAATTAGATTGGCAAAGTAAAATGTTAGAATACGCAGAACTAGCAATATTTAACAGCAAGATTCCGAGACCATACAGATCAAATATTTAATAGAGAGCGGAATATTTACAGAGAATATTTAAAAGAGCATTGTAACAACATAAATTCTTTGGCAAGTCTGGATTGATTTCTGTATGAAATTGAGATCGCTACAAAATTAACATAACAGAATAACTTAGGAGAGATAAAGTTGTGTAGCTGTAATGAAACTTAGGAAGCACAATGGGTGCGGGGATCGGAAGTCATGTTAGAAATAGTGACGGATGAACTAAATCTTTTCTTTTTTGTGTGTACGGAGTGTTAATTTTGGATTGCCATTCGCTGATTGTTGCGTAGTGTCTTGTTTTGTGTTTGTTTTGTTATAAAAAGTGTTAACGGAAAAATCCGAGGGCTCCCTTGGACAAAAACAAAGACACCAACCAGGATAACTTGGAGCAAAACAGCAGCCTGTAGGCTTGGCCTTTATTGAATTGTTGCAACGGGGTGCTCCCCTCATTTGCAGGAGAGAGGAAGGACCCAGAAAAATGGTGTGCAAGGTCTTATGAAGACTTTTGAAATTGCCACCCTGTAGATCAAGACCACCCCCCAGAAACATCATACATCACAGAAAGGAGGGGTTGAGGGAGGAGTTGTGGTGGTAACCTGAGTGTCCTGTCACCTGGCTGGTTCCCCCTTTCCGCTCCCCATGAGTACTTTCCAGGTGACAGAGGGGAGTTTGCAGTTTCCTGCCCCCAGAGGGAAGAGTTGATTATTGTCCTTTGTTCCAGTCTGTGCTGAATCCACTCCCATATGCAAGTTCTTTGTGATCTTGATGGTCTTCTGTCTAGGACCATCAGGGTTGGCATAGCAACTGGGTAGGGCTCCTGTGGATGTGCTGGTATGCTCAAGGGATTATGGTGGCCTGTATCAAACCTTCCCCATTTTGTAGTCCTTCCTTCATGGAGTAAAATAAAAGTGAAACAGTGCAAATCCGATGTATGGTTGATTTTCTATGAATTTATAACAGAAGCGTAGCGTATGTAGTGTCAGTTACAGATGGGTAGCCGTGTTGGTCTGCCATAGTCAAAAAAAAAAAAAAATTCCTTCCAGTAGCACCTTAAAGACCAACTAAGTTAGTTCTTGGTATGAGCTTTCGTGTGCATGCACACTTCTGTATCTGAAGAAGTGTGCATGCACACGAAAGCTCATACCAAGAACTAACTTAGTTGGTCTTTAAGGTGCTACCGTATGTAGTGTGTGAGTGTGTGTGAAGTTTGTACAAACTGAATGATTGGGGGAGGGTTTCCTGCTACAAAAGTAATAAAGCATTAAAAGAAAGAAAGAAAGAAAGAAAGAAAGAAAGAAAGAAATTCAGAAATAAGAACGTAAAAGCATAAGGCAGATTGAAAAACAGTATTAAAACCAAAAAGCCAACAAGAAACACTCACGTCCTGCTATCCAAATTCTCATTATATGAAAATTCACTTATCCAAACACAATGAGTTAGTACCCAAACCTCGCTATGCACACTGCAGATTCAGATATCCAAACCTGTCTGTTGTACTGTAAACAAATAAGTGGCCTTCCTTGTCTTTTGCTGGTCTGCGGCAGTCATTTTGCCAGAAACCATAGTGGGAGAGAGGGACAGGGAGAGATCGCATTTTCCCTTCATTGTTTGCCTTTTGCAAGGATTCAGATGATTTCCCTGGGTTTCCCTGTTATTTTGGGATCAAGTGTTTGTGCCTTAGAAAATTCCCCATGGGAATCAATGCAAATTGTTGGCTTGTTATGCGAACGTTCACCTAACACTTGATTTCCTGAGAATGTATTGTGTTCAGACAGTGGGAGCTGTGTGTAGACATAATTTGAGGAGGTGGAGAGTGGAGTTTTCAACAAATGTTGAATGGCAATTTTCTACGAGGAGAGAATTCTAGAGAACTTGTGGCACTATACTGTAAAAGCACGCGCTTGAATCTGTTCCCATTTCAACAGGAATGCCATACGGAAGCAGGGAGAACTCCCTCCTCTACTCCGAGATTCCCAAAAAGGTACGGAAGGAAGCCTTGCTCCTGTTGTCGTGGAAGCAGATGCTGGACCATTTCCAGGTGAGGCGCGGTAGAGGGTGGGCTGTGGCTTCACTGCGCTCTGCGGACTCGGGAACTGTTCTGGGGAAAAAACCAGAACAAAAATAATAATTCTGATTCCACATCTAGAATAAATAAGAGGCAGGGAATCTTTTTCCGTGATGGAGGCTGACCCAGTCTCCCACAGCTGAAGCTGGCAGGAAGCTGAGTGTCCTGTCCAGGATTCTCGCTCCACCCGCTCTATTGGGGCAGCTCCATCCGGCCTCAGCTCCTGTTCCATCAGGCTGCCTAAGTGAGAGAGATGGGAAGCAGAAGACTCGCTCCATCCGCTTTGTTGAAAGACCAGCTCCCACCAGGCACCTCCTGTCCCTAAAAGTATGCACGCTGGTCATACGAACAGCTGTTTTAAAAACCAGTGCCTGAGTTTGATTCCCTCCCCCCCACCGTCCCTTTTCTCTTATTTAATAATAATAATAATAGTAATTTTTTATTATTACGCCGCCCATCTGGCTGAATCTCCCCAGCCACTCTGGGCGGCTTCCAATCAAGTGTTAAAAACAATACAGCATTAAATATTAAAAACTTCCCTAAACAGGGCTGCCTTCAGATGTCTTTTAAAGATAAGATAGCTGCTTATTTCCTTCACATCTGAAGGGAGGGCGTTCCACAGGGCGGGTGCCACTACCGAGAAGGCCCTCTGCCTGGTTCCCTGTAACCTCACTTCTCGCAATGAGGGAACCGCCAGAAGGCCCTCGGAGCTGGACCTCAGTGTCCGAGCTGAACGATGGGGGTGGAGACGCTCCTTCAGGTATACAGGACCGAGGCCGTTTAGGGCTTTAAAGGTCAGCACCAACACTTTGAATTGTGCTCGGAAACGTACTGGGAGCCAATGCAGATCTCTCAGGACCGGTGTTATGTGGTCCTGGCGGCCGCCCCCAGTCACCAGTCTAGCTGCCGCATTCTGGATTAATTGCAGTTTCTGGGTCACCTTCAAAGGTAGCCCCACGTAGAGTGTGTTGCAGTATATACCGCCCTATACCTGGGGTCTCAGGGCGGTTCACAGAATAAAATCAAGATATAAAAACACAAAACACATAATAAAATTGAAAACAACAACCCAATAGCTCCCCCCCCATCACAATTTAAAAGGGCATAGGATGTAAATCAGATCAACCAAAAGCCTGGTTAAAAAGGAATGCTTTTGCCCAGCACGTAAAGATTGTATAATGAAGGTGCCAGGCGAACTTCCCTGGGGAGAGCATTCCACAGAAGGGGAGCCACTGCAGAGAAGGCCCCGTTCTCGTGTTGCCACCCTTCGCACCTCTTGAGGAGGAGGCACACGAAGGAGGGCCTCAGAAGATGATCTCAGGGTCCGGGTGGGTTCATATGGAAAGAGGCGGTCCTTGAGGTATTGCGATCCTCAGCTGTTTTAAGGCTTTGTAGGTCAAAACCAGCACTTCCTTATGCGTTGTGCATTTTTCGATTCTAAGCCTGCAGGCAGGGACTGTCTTGTTCCAACTGATTATACGGAAGCCGCTCTGAGAGGCTGGGTTTTTTTGGGGGTACAAACCCCCCTAAGTAAACAAATCAGATTTGCACAGTAGGTTGGTGGCAGAGCTTTCTCGTGTTTTCTCTGCGTGTACCTTCATGACCTTTTTTTGGGGGGGCACCTCCCCTGTTTTCCACCAGGCCACCCCCCACCACGGGATGTATTCCAGGGAGGAAGAGCTGCTGAGGGAGCGCAAGCGGCTAGGGGTCTTTGGGATCACTTCCTACGACTTCCACAGCGAGAGCGGCCTCTTCCTGTTCCAGGCCAGCAACAGCCTTTTCCACTGCCGGGACGGAGGCAAGAACGGCTTTATGGTGAGCGTGCGTTAAAGGCAGCAGCCATCACACAATGCTCTGATCCACAGCGCTTGGTAATTGTTGGTAAAGTGCCCTTGGGTAAGGAGGTTCTCTTTGCTCTCCTGTTCTTATCCACAGCACTTAGTAATGGTCCTATACAGTCGTGCCTCCGCTTACGTATCCGTCTTTTGGTCTCTCCTTTCTGAACCTGTCCATTTTGTCTACCTTGGACCTCTGAACGTTCAGCTTCATGGGTTGTGCACGAATTCTAGTACAGTGGTGCCTCGCAAGACGAAAATAATCTGTTCCACCATTCTCTTCGTCTAGCGGTTTTTTCGTCTTGCGAAGCAAGCCCATTAGTGGCTAAGCGGCTTAGCTGCTAAAAGGCTATTAGCGGCTTAGCAGCTTAGAAAAAGGGGGGGAGCAGGAAAAAATGGCAAGACTCGCAAGACATTTTCGTCTTGCGAAGCAAGCCCATAGGGAAATTCGTCTTGCGAAGCACCTCCAAAACGGAAAACCCTTTCGTCTAGCGGGTTTTTCGTCTTGCGAGGCATTCGTCTTGCGGGGCACCACTGTACTTTCAAAAAAGGGAGGAAAACTTCTCTGCTCCGTGGATAGTTCACAGGTGTGTGTGCTGCTTGTCCGCAGGTGTCTCCAATGAAGCCGCTGGAAATCAAGACACAGTGCTCAGGCCCCAGAATGGATCCCAAGATCTGCTCCGCCAATCCGTCTTTCTTCTCGTTCATCAACAACAACGACCTTTGGGTTGCCAGCATCGAGACGGGGGAGGAGCGGAGGCTGACGTATTGCCAGAAAGGTGAGCGCAGTCTATAACACTCCCGTCTTGTGTGGAGGGGGAAATAAATATCCCTGCCTGGTATTTTTTCTGCCTGGTGCCAGATCAGCCCCTAAATTACCGTATTTTTCGCTCTATAAGATGCACTTTTCCCCGCCTAAAAAGTAAGGGGAAATGCGTGTGCGTCTTACGGAGCGAATGCAGGCTGCGCAGCTTTCACTGAAGCCAATCCTTCTTGCTCTCCTGGCTTCAGCGAAAGCAATGCGAAGCCTCCGGAGCACAGCGGGAGCTCCTGCTGCGCTCAGGAGGCTTCGGGAGGCTATCCCTGAAGCCAGGAGAGCAAGAGGGATCGATCCCTCTTGCTCTCCTGGCTTCGCTTCGCTGGAGAGCCGCTGCACAGCTTTCCCTCTCTGCGCAGCGCCCCTTCAGCGTAGCAGCAGGAGAAACGGAGCCCCTTCCGTTTCTCCTCCCGCTTTGCAGGAGAGGCGCTGAGCAAAGAGGGAGAGAACATTTTTTTCCCTGTTCTCCTCCTCTAAAACTAGGTGCGTCTTATGGTCAGGTGCGTCTTATGAAGTTAAGGCTGTGTTTCCAAACCTTGGGCCTCCAGCTGTTTTTGGACTACAACTCCCATCATCCCTAGCTAGCAAGACCAGTGGTCAGGGATGATGGGAATTGTAGTTCAAAAACAGCTGGAGGCCCAAGGTTGGGAAACACTGAGTTAAGGCAATTGTTGTTGGCATCTGTCTTGGGAGGCAATGCAGGAGATGAAGTCAAACTGTTGGAAGGCTGCAGTCCCTGCTTTGGCTGTAGACACCAATGCAGGAGAGACATGTTTTGTTGCAGTTGGGACAGATGAAGGTGTCCTTTTCGGCTGCTGCCGAAGCACCATGGTGTTTCCTCTCTCTGTGCTCCTCCCAGCAACCATTCCTCCTCTGATCACTGCTGCGGATGCACGGCCTCACTTTCTGTCTCCAGGCACTGTGGTCATTTGGGTTGATGCTGCCAATCCTTCATGTCTTGTTTGCAAATACCAGCGTGGTTAATGGTATTGTCCATACATTTACTAAATGGGAGGTGTACAATGACCTCGGGGCCCAAGCCTAGTCTTTCTGTCCCTTGTATTCAAATAATCCAATATGATAGCTGAAGAGAGAGGGAATTCTTCTGTAACTAATTCCCATGTACAGTGGTTCCTCGGGTTAAGGACTTAATTCGTTCTGGAGGTCCGTTATTAACCTGAAACTGTACTTAACCTGAAGCTAATGGGGCCTCCTACTGCTGCCGCGCCACCGGAGCACGATTTCTGTTCCCATCCTGAAGCAAAGTTCTTAACCCGAGGTACTATTTCTCGGTTAGCGGAGTCTGTAACCTGAAGTGTCTGTAACCTGAAGCGTATGCAACCCGAGGTACCACTGTATCCTGTAAATCAGAATTACAATCCTTAGAGCTTTTTGGAGGGTTATAAACATTTGTTCAGTTTTGTTCAGAACCCTGCAGGCTAGTCAGGTGAATAATTTGAAGACAAGGCGAGTTGACTTTTAAGTTCGTGGCCACCCCAAAAGCAGAGTCACCTCTGATTCTTCCCTTCTTACGATAATTCCTCGGGGGCAGTGAGATGATGCTGTTGGGGGGGCACAACCATTTTCTGGATGGCATGCTAGGGACTCCCTGTATGTCCATTGGACTAAGCCCTTACTCCTCTGCCAGGGCTGGGCAGGTGACATGAAATGAGGAATGTAAAAAGCCCTTCAGCTCCCTGCGACCCCAAAAGCAGAGGATGACTTGCTCTGGAGAGAAGGGAACACAGTCATCTTGACTCACACACCTCTTCGCATGTGGGCCTTGTCTGCAGAAGGACATGGAAGAGAGGACCTGGCTCGGTCATTTTATTTACCGTATTTTTTGCTCGATAAGACTTACTTTTTCCCTCCTAAAAAGTAAGGGGAAATGTGTGTGCGTCTTATGGAGCGAGTGCAGGCTGCGCAGCTATCCCAGAAGCCAGAACAGCAAGAGGGATTGCTGCTTTCACTGCGCAGCGATCCCTCTTGCTGTTCTGGCTTCTGAGATTCAGAATATTTTTTTCTTGTTTTCCTCCTCCGAAAACTAGGCGCGTCTTGTGGTCTGGTGCGTCTTATAGAGCGAAAAATACGGTATATCATAAAATGGCCTTGACTACGAGCAAGGCAGCTTCCCTTTTTCTTAGGGGCATCGCTGCCCATTGGAGAAAACCACTCAGGGCTGGGTGATCATAGCCAACTGTGCTAGGTTCAATTCCCTGGCCCAAACTCTGCCTCCTTTCTCCCCACTGCAGGTTTATCCAGCGTGCTAGATGACCCCAAATCTGCAGGCGTAGCCACGTTCGTCATTCAGGAGGAGTTTGACCGGTTTACGGGGTACTGGTGGTGTCCCACATCTTGCCAAGAAGGTGAGTGCTCTGGGCACCTAGGCCACGCAACGATCCTACCAGCTCTTATATCAGCCTTCTCCCATCTTTTGTTCCCAAGTGTTGTTGGACTACAACTCAGATCAGTCCTTGACAGCATGGACAGCTATCAGGAGGATGAGTTGCCTTTTCTCTCAAAGCCCCAAACACAGCAACCTTTTCTTATAGGGGAGCCACTCCATCCTCATTACGCAGGTGGTGCTGTGGTCTAAACCACTGAGCCTCTTGGGCTTGCCAGTCGGAAGGTCAGCGGTTCGAATCCCCGCGACGGAGTGAGCTCCTGTTGCTCTGTCCCAGCTCCTGCCAATCTAGCAGTTTGAAAGCACGCCAGTGCAAGTAGATAAATAGGCACCACTGTGGCGGGAAGGTAAGCGGCATTTCCATGCGCTCAGGTTTCCATCACGGTGTCCCGTTGCACCAGAAGCGGTTTAGTCCTGCTGGCCACATGACCCGGAAAGCTGTCTGCGGACAAACGCTGGCTCCCTCGGCCTGAAAGCGAGATGAGCGCCGCAACCCCATAGTCACCTTTGACTGGACTTAACCATCCAGGGGTCCTTTACTTTATTATTATTATTATTATTATTATTATTATTATTATTATTAAAATTCATATACCACCCTTCATCTAAAATCTCAGGACTGTTCACAATATAAAAATACAGGATAAAAGCACAAAATAAAGAGTTAAAACAAAAACAAAGCAAAACAATACACCCCCCCCAACAAATTTAAAAGGTCTTAAAATATTAATCTAGGGACGCGGGTGGCGCTGTGGATAAAACCTCAACGCCTAGGACTTGCCGATCGCATGGTCGGCGGTTCGAATCCCCGCAGCGGGGTGCGCTCCCGTCGTTCGGTCCCAGCTCCTGCCCACCTAGCAGTTCGAAAGCACCCTTAAGTGCAAGTAGATAAATAGGTACCGCTTTATAGCGGGAAGGTAAACGGCGTTTCCGTGTGCGGCTCTGGCTCGCCAGAGCAGCTTTGTCACGCTGGCCACGTGACCTGGAAGTGTCTCCGGACAGCGCTGGCCCCCGGCCTCTTAAGCGAGATGGGCGCGCAACCCCAGAGTCGGACATGACTGGCCCGTATGGGCAGGGGTACCTTTACCTTTACCTTAAAATATTAATCGGCCAAAGGCCTGGTGGAAGAGGAACATTTTCGCTTAAAGATGTACAATGAAGGCACCAGACAAACCTTTGGGAGAGCATTCCACAAACAGGGAGCCACCACAGAAAAGGCTGGTTCTTGTGTTGCCGCTCTCTGGACTTCTCGTGGAGGAGGCACACAGAGAAGGGCCTGGCTATTTGACGGCTTCCTCTGTTTGTGTTCAGTCCAGCCTTTTGTTCAGAGCAATGAGGGCTGCTGCCTCAACTTCATTTTTAAAGGGAGGATTTTGGGCACAGAGTCTGCGTTGGTTTATATGGGGAAGGGCAGTCCTTGAGGTATGGCCCATTTTTCTGAACCTTTTCCAGCTCTACAATATCCCTTTGGAGGCGAGCGAGTTCCATAGGCTAATTCTGTGCTGCGTGAGTAAGTACTTTTACCTGTCATCAGTTTCCACATTGAGCTTTCACGTGGCATAGAAGCCGCTTCCAGGAATATAGCAGAACAGAGCACAAGTTTAGCACTTATTTTTGTGATATTTTGCAAATGAAAATTCCCCCCACCCCCGGAAGCAAACAACATGGAAATGACCGCTAAGCTTGCACCACGTTTTCTACATTTCTGGAAGTGGCTTTTGTGTCGTGTGAAAGCTCAAAACACAGTGCAGAAATTAGCAGTTAGGGGAAAACCTTGGGAAAATGGAATAAACTGCTCTGCGAATGCAGCCTTGGACCATAAGCTTCTAGACATGTGAGCAGGAGTGTTTTCCTTGGAGAAAAACAGCAGCAGTTTCCTGCCGCGCATTGCTGCATGCAGAAGAAGTCTGTGTTGCACAGTCCTCTTCTGGTTGAATGGGCCACGCTCCGAGGTCAGCGTGTGCAGGAAGAGACTGCTGGGAGGAGCTGCCTCAGAACTCACCTCCCCATCTCGCCTCCTCAACCTAGGTCCCGAGGGCTGGAACACGTTACGAATCCTCTATGAGGAGGTGGACGAGTCGGAGGTGGAGATCATCCATGTTCCTTCTCCCGCCCTGGAAGAAAGGAAGACGGACTCGTACCGCTACCCCAGGACAGGTCAGTGGGGGAGCTGTGGGGTGAGGATGAAGGGGGCTTGGAAAACCCCACCTGGCAGACGACACCGCTTCTGCCTCTGATCCTTTGAACCAGAGGTGGAGCCACCTCCACTTTCTTGTATTTCTCCGTGGATTCTGATTTTCTTCTGGGAAAGCCAGATCATTTACCGTATTTTTCGCTCCATAGGGCGCTCCGGACCATAGGGCGCACCTAGTTTTTAGAGGGGGAAATCAAGAAAAAAAAATCTTATTCCCCCCCCCCAGCCCCAAAGAGCAGTGTACAGGCTGCGCACAACCTCTCCCTGCCGGGACCTCTCCATCCCGCTCGCTGTCTTGGTTTGTGCCATAGCCGCGCGCAACCCCTCCGGCAGGGAGAGGCTAAAGACGCCATAGCCGTCTGCAGCCTCTCCCTGCCGGAGGGGCTGCGCGTGGCTATCCTTGAAGCCTTCCGAGTGCAGTGCAAGTTCCCGCTGCGCTCCTCAGGATTCGGGTTCCTTTTGCTGAAGCCAGGAGAGCAAGACTCTCCTGGCTCAGCGAAAGGAACCTGAAGCCTCCAGAACCAATGCCTCTCGCCTCTCGCTCTCCAGGCTTCAGCAAAAGCAACGCAAAGCCTCCGGAGCGCGGAGGGAGCGCTCCCTCTGCGCTTTGGAGGCTTCGCGTTGCTATCGCTGAAGCCAAGGAGCCTGCATTCGCTCCATAGGACGCACACACATTTCCCCTTAATTTTTGGAGGGGAAAAAGTGCGTCCTATAGAGCAAAAAATACGGTAAATTTTTGCCGCCCAGTGGCCGTTGCAGTTGTTACTCACAAGAAAAAAAAATGCAAGGCAGTCCAATAGCAGGTTTTAGTGTTGTAATCTTAGGGTGAAGGGTAATAACAGTAGAGATGGCAATCGTCCTGTGCTATTGACCAGCCAAGAACTGGGCTCGCCCTCTTCAACCTGTTGGAAAACGCCCTGGGGTGCTCCTGCAGCCCCCGCTATCCGAGCATCCTCCGGTATGCGCATCTCTGGAAGAGGCATTTCACTTCTTCTCCAGTGCGCTCAGCGACATATAGCAGATGGTATATGCACACTACACTTCTGGCATTACACAGCAAGAAGCGTGAGGCATCGTAGAGCTAATCTACATACTGTATTTTTCGCTCTATAAGACGCACCAGACCACAAGACGCACCTAGTTTTTGGAGGAGGAAAACAAGGGGGGAAAGCCAGAACAGCAAGAGGGATCGCTGCACAGTGAAAGCATCAATCCCTCTTGCTGTTCTGGCTTCTGGGATAGCTGCGCAGCCTGCATTCGCTCCATAAGACGCACACACATTTCCCCTTACTTTTTAGGAGGGAAAAAGTGAGTCTTATAAAGCAAAAAATACGCTATTTATGCACTGTGTACAGACAAAGCATTATGGCGTCTCTCTCACCAGCTCCGAGAGAGAACAGGACAAAGTAAAAGCAAAAGTACAGTCCAACAGTACAGACAGTGGAAGAGAGAAAAGGTTCTCTTCCGTTCCCACGGTCTTCCCAGACAGGCATGTGATTGACACCAGTCTCATCTGCAGCATCGGATGCGTGAAATACTAACACAACCTACATGAAGGGAAATGAGTGTTAAAAGCATTCAGCTCAGCTGCCTCCTCATGTCCTCCTTCTCCTCCATTCCAGGCAGCAAGAACCCCAAAATCTCGCTGAAGCTTGCTGAAGTTCAAGTGGATAGCCAAGGGAAGGTAAGGGAGCTGGGTTCCAGTTTGCTAATTGTCTTTGACTTCTTTCCTCTCGGGTTTTCCTTCGCAAAGCAAACTCCAAAGCAGCTCAAGGTATTAATAGCACGGCACCCCGAAACGAATTATACCCATAACCAGAGGTACCACTGTAGTAATGCCTTGAACTTGGCCCAGTAGCAAATCGGTGGCTGGTGCGAATCTCTGAGCACAGCCGTTTTGTGCCAGCAAGACTCGTGTCGGCAACCAGTCGCCGTCTCTTAGCCTAACCAGGATTGTTGTGAGGGTGAAATGAGGAAGGAGGAAAACCTTGTGCACCACCTTGGAAGAAAAAGGCGGTGCTCATAAATGTAATAAATAAATGCAGGCAGCTTCCTGTTTCCTCACGTTCAGTATATATGTGCATTGCATCAAACCCAGAAGCGAAACATTGCACAGATGTCACTAAAAGGGTGCTTGCAGGCGTTTCCAACGGCTTTCGATTCTGCACGATTTCACAGACGAATGCGGTGCCTCGAAACGCAACCCCTGCATAAACATGGAGCTGCCTGTAAAATAAATCAACATTCATATAAACAGTGCAATCTATAAGGCACCAAAGCTCATAACATAGAATTCCACTCGCTCAGCATTCACACCTCTGCTTCAGTCCACTGACACCTGCATTCATTCAGCCACACTTGGAACTTCCCAACAGGTAAAGGTAAAGGGACCCCTGACCCATTAGGTCCAGTCGTGACCGACTCTGGGGTTACGGTTCCAGAAATCCCCTGGGTGCGTAGATACGAAGGCCGCTCTACAGCACTGGCATCATAGAGATGGAAGGGACCACCAGGGATCATCTTGCCTTAAGTCTCTGCCACGCAGGAACCTTTTGCCCCATGTGGGGGTGGGAAACCACCCCCCACCCCCGAGATGAAGAGTCTTGTGCTCTACGGCTGAAGTACCCTAGCTGTTTCTCCCATTGCCTGATGGAGCGGCTGCTGACAGTGGCGGGTTAAGTGGAGGGATGCGGGTGGCGCTGTGGGTTAAACTACAGAGCCTAGGGCTTGCCGATCAGAAGGTCAACGGTTCGAATCCCCACAATGGGGTGAGCTCCCGTTGTTCGGTCCCTGCTCCTGCCAACCTCGCAGTTCGAAAGCACATCAAAGTGCAAGTAGATAAATAGGTACCACCCCGGCGGGAAGGTAAACGGCATTTCCGTGCGCTGCTCTGGTTCGCCAGAAGCGGCTTAGTCATGCTGGCCACATGACCTGGAAGCTGTACGCCGGCTCCCTCGGCCAGTAAAGCGAGATGAGCGCCGCAACCCCAGAGTCGGCCACGACTGGACCTAATGGTCAGGGGTCCCTTTACCTTTACCTTTTTAAAAAGTAAAAGTAAAACGAGTGGCAACTTCTCCCCTTTCCTCTTTGCAGATAGTATCTTCCCAGGAGAAGGAGCTGGTGCACCCCTTTTCAACGATGTTCCCGCGGGTGGAGTACATCGCACGGGCCGGGTGGACCCAGGATGGTAAATAGTAAGTGGACTTTAGTAAGTGCAGTGGGGAAAGCATGGAGCTCCTTACCCCTGGCCAGACCCTTTGTCCATTTCACCCAGTGTTGCTTGACCTTACTGGCAATGTCTCTAAGGTCTCAGCAGAGAGAGAAAGAGGTTTTCCTCTCCGCTGGGCTCCTCTGTTCTTTTTTTAACTGGGGATTGAGCCTGGGGCCTTTCTGCATGCAAAGTGGACGTCTTGCAGCTTCCCACTGTGGTTCCTCTCCTTGTGTGTCTTGTGTGCCTGAGAAGTTCTCGCAGATTTAGGGCTCATCCACACTTCCATTGCCCTTCCATTCAGTCGGAACAAAACTGAATCACAAGGAGGGATTCTTGGTTTGTTGTTCTTTATTTTTTGCTATGTTATTTTGTGGTTTTATATGGTGATTTTATGCTGGGAACTGCCCTGAGATTTGCGAATGAAGGGCAGTGTACAAATTTAATACGTTGTTGTTGTTAATACGTTGTTGTTATTAATTCAATTTATATACAGCCCTTTTTTGAAAGATCTCAGGGCAGTGTGCAACATTAGAAACATGTCCCAAAACACCAGTGATAAAAACATAATGAAGACATAGTCCATGTGTAGGCAAACTAAGGCCCGGGGGTCAGATCTGGCCCAATCGCCTTCTAAATCCAGCCCACGGATGGTCTGGGAATCAGCATGTTTTTACATGAGCAGAATGTGTCCTTTTATTTAAAAAGCATCTCTGGGTTATTTGTGGAGCATTTTAATTCGGTTTTTTGTTTTGTTTTCCCCCAAAATGTAGTCCGGCTCCCCAACAAGGTCTGAGGGACAGTGGACCGGCCCCCTGCTGAAAAGTTTGCTGACCCCTGACATAGTCAGAAGCATGTCATGGAATTCTTCTCAGTATTGATCCAGAGCAGATTCCAGCGTATAGTTAGCAGAGTAAACAACCTATAAACACATTGCAGGATTGCCAAACAAAATAGACCAGAGGCAGTTAATATTTCATTCAGCAGAGCTTTACTGCTACTGAAGGCAAATGAGCATAGTGGTCACAAATCCTATACATTCAGGATTGGGCACCGTCAATCAAATCCACCCTGAAGGAGAGGCTACCACCTTGTGAGGCTGTCCGTTTTTTGGGTCTCCCAGTTGATATTGATTCTCCCACTCTCTTCCTCTCTTTGCCTCTCTCTGCTCAGTGCCTGGGCCATGTTCCTCGACCGACCTCAGCACCAGCTCCAGCTCGTCCTGTTCCCCCCTGCCCTCTTCATCCCGGTTCCGGAGAGCGAGGAGCAGCGCCAGGAGTTTGCCAAAGCTGTGCCGGGGAATGTCCACCCCTTCATTATTTACGAGGAAGTCACCGACGTCTGGATAAACGTAAGGGGGCGGTGTGGGCTGGAATGACTGGAGGTGGGTGGGAAGGGCCTAGCCCCCCTACCTCTTCCCCCTGCCTTTCGCTGCTGTTTTAGGAAAGTAAAGATTCCTCCCCTACACTTTTATTGAACACACACACACACACACACACATGCCCTGCCGACCTGGATCCCTGCACAGAGAGGCAAAACACTAGGCTTTGCATGCAGAAGGTCCTACATTCAGTGCCCAACATCTCCAGGTATGGTGCGAACAAGGCTCCTGTCTGAAGCTTCCAATCAGTGTGGGCAGTCCTGCGAGAGATGGGTTTATGTGCTCCTAACTGTGGATGCGGGTGGCGCTGTGGGTTAAATCACATTGCCTAGGGCTTGCCAATCAGAAGGTTCGCAGTTCGAATCCCCACGACAGGGTGAGCTCCCATTGCTCGGTCCCTGCTCCTGCCCACCTAGCAGTTCAAAAGCACGTCAAAGTGCAAGTAGATAAATAGGTACCACTCCGGCGGGAAGGTAAACGGCGTTTCCGTGCGCTGCTCTGGTTCGCCAGAAGCGGCTTAGTCATGCTGGCCACATGACCCGGAAGCTGTACGCCGGCTCCCTCGGCCAATAAAGCGAGATGAGCGCCGCAACCCCAGAGTCGGTCACGACTGGACCTAACGGTCAGGCGTCCCTTTACCTTTTAAAAACCGGTAGAATAGGAGCAGAGAAAAGGGAACAATTAAATCAGCCAATTGCCACAATGGAGGTGCACCAAGCAATTATGAAACCAAAAGTAGGAAAAGCACCTGGAACAGATGGTTTGACAGCAGCGTATTATAAAAAAATTAGAGGAATTCTTAATAACACCAATGAAATTGGTAATGAATAGAATTTTAAAATGTGGAATAATACCGGCATCATGGGAAGAAGCTTTTGTCCGTGTTGATACCAAAACAAGGACAAGACCTGACGCTAATTAAAAACTATAGGCCCATATCACTGCTGAACAGTGATTACAAAATATTCGCTGACATTCTAGCCAACAGATTGAAACAATTATTACCTTAAATGAAACCATACATAAAGATCAAGCTGGCTTTTTGGGGTGCAAACAAGTTGGGATTGGCTTTTGTTATTCTGGATATCCTGCTTCAAAGGAGACAGTTGGGGGGCTACTCTTTTTTTTGCACACAAGGCAGCTGCTCGAGTCACTGAGTGTAGCTTCCCTTCACTTCTGAGGGCTCTGAAAATGATGTCAAGAGGCTGGGGAGAGGCAGCGTGGTGTAGTGGTTAGAGTGTTGGACTGGGGCCTGGGAGACCAGAGTTGAAATCCTCACCTGGCCACGGCTCTTGCTGGGTGTGTGACCTTGTGGGCCAGCCGCTGTCTCTCCCTCAGCCTAACCTACCTCACAGGGCTGTTATGAGGACCAGATGAAGGGAGGGGAAGCCTTGTTTATCATGTTGAACTCCTTGGAGAAAATGGTGGGATAGGAGTGTAATTGCTGGAGTGGTCTTGGCAGGACTACTGAATAGTTTTTCTGCCTTCTCTAGCAATTGCACTGCGCTGTGCTAGAGGCTGTGTGCTTTTCAGTTGCCTTTTTATTCCTTTATTTCTTGCATACTGTTGTTTCATAGAATTCAGTTTGCAGCGCAATAGGATACAGTTTCAGAAGTAAGAGAAGCAATGAAAAAGCAGTATAGGGTGACTTTTTCTTGCAGCGGGTGTACTGTCTCCCATTTTCAGTGAATTCAGTAAATTAAAATAAAATAAATCACAAACCCACAGACACGCCACAGGCCATGTGAATGAAGTTTGGTCTGGCAGCCCCTGGCCTAGAGGCTAGTTTGCCCTGTGAATGTCTAGAATCCATAGGCATTTGGGAGAGGCATTGGCGTAGCATTCGAGACAGTGACCACACAGCAGGAGACTAGTTTGGCCTGTGTGGGGAGTTTATACCAGATGATGGTTTGTCTTAATGGCTCTGTTTTCTTAGCTAGGAGCCTAAGTCACCCCCTCTGTTTTTGAAGCGCTTCAATAATCATCCATTTTAATTTTATTTGCACGCTTGTTTTTCTGCCAAAAAAAGAGAGAATCCTGTTCAAAGCAGTCTATAGCAGATAAAACAGGAATTCATCTCAAAATCAGCTATCATAGGAACACTTCCATCATAAACCAACAGAAAATTTTCTAAATAACGTACAACACACCCCAAAATTTCAGTACAGTGGTACCTCGGTTTACATTCCATTCTGGAAGTCCGTTCTTAAACCAAAACGGTTCTTAAAACCGATGCACGCTTTCCCTAATGAGGCCTCCCACCGCTGGTGCCCTTCCACTGTTCGGATTCCATTCTTTAGACCAAGGTAAAGTTCTCAAACCGGGACACTATTTCCGGTTTTGCGGAGTTCATAAACTGAATCGTTCTTAAACCGGACTGTTCTTAAACCTAGGTAAAGGTAAAGGGACCCCTGACCATTAGGTCCAGTCGCAGACGACTCGGGTTCCGGCGCTCATCTCGCTTTATTGGTCGAGGGAGCCGATGTACAGCTTTTGGGTCATGTGGCCAGCATGACTAAGCCGCTTCTGGCGAACCAGAGCAGCGCACAGAAATGTCGTTTACCTTCCCGCCAGAGTGGTACCTATTTATCTACTTGCACTTGACGTGCTTTTGACTGCTAGGTTGGCAGGAGCAGGGACCAAGCAACGGGAGCTCACCCCGTCATGGGGATTCGAACCGCCAACCTTCCGACTGGCAAGCCCTAGGCTCAGTGGTTTAGACCACAGCGCCACCCGTGTCCCGAACCCGAGGTACCACTGTACTGTAAATTTAGCAACCAACCATGTTTCACCTCCTGGCAGTGGCCAAGATAACAAGGGAGCTTGGCACTTCCACCTTCTGCCTGCCATGGTGTTGCTCGCGGTCCTTCTCTTGCCAAAACTTGCAAGGCTTTCAAACGTGGAGGGTGGGGCAGCTGGAAATGCCTCTCCCGTGATGTTGCTAGCATACCTCCCCTCTCTTCCGGGCAGGTCCACGACATCTTTTACCCTTTTGTCCAGCCAGAGGGGGAAGAGGAGGAGCTTTGCTTTATCCGAGCCAACGAGTGCAAGACGGGCTTCTGCCACCTGTACAAAGTCACGGTCGTCCTCCGGCGGGGCAGCTTTGACTGGACGCAGCCGTACGTCCCTAGCCAAGGTGAGATCCCAAGAGCTGCCCGCCTGCCTGCAGTTCGAGTCTTCCGGGAAAAAAATTCTCCCACGGTGCACCTTGAATGTTTTCCTGGTAGCCAAGAGCAGTTGAAGGGGCAAATCTGGTTAATAATAATAATAATTTATTTATACCCCGCACATCTGGCTGGGTTTCCCAAGCCACTCTGGGTGGTTCCCAACAGAATATTAAAAATTAGATAGAACATCAAACATTAAAAAAATTCCCTAAACAGGGCTGCCTTCAGATGTCTTCTAAAAGTCAGATAGTTGTTCATTTCCTTGACATCTGAAGTAGAAACAAACAAGGACATAAGGAAGTGAGCAAACTCCAGGCTGAATCTGTGGTTGTTTGCAGCAAGGTTTGGGCGTAATTCTTTTCGTGCGGATAAGTGAATTTCTGCATAGTGAGCAGGCAGGCAGCAGGACATGTGTGTATTTTAGCTCCCCTATGGCGTTATCTATGTGCACATAGTATTGCTTTCATTTTTACTTAACAAGTAGGTTAAAATAAGAGCATTCTGCATTGGACAGACACGCTCTCTGTCTCTTTTTTGCCCCAGAGGACTTCAAATGCCCTCTCAGGAAGGAGTTGGCGCTCACCAGCGGTGAATGGGAGGTCCTGGCCAGGCACGGATACAAGGTACAAGGAGCCCCCTTGGATTCGGCAGCACGGAATTGAAACTTCGAAATCCGCAGCCTGCCTCGCGTTTTGATTTCCGTCTTCGCCCTCAAAATAAAGGGGTGGCAAAGGAGTCACCAGGCGAGTCTCTCTCTCTGGTGATGGCCTCCACAGGAACAGGATCCCCACACACAGCTGTCGGCCTCTGCATACGCGAGTGGCCAAAAAAGTGAAAACCTTTTGGGGAAAGTGTATTTCCGAGGTTTGGTGGCTCATAACACCACCCTTTTTTCCTGAGTAATACCATAAAATTATATATCAATCGAAAGATAATTTAATGAAGAATGTAATGCAACGAAGTTTATTCAGTTATCTGTATTCTATCGAAAGTTATAGCCAAATAACCAGAAAAAAGGAGTTTATTGAGCCAATCAGGTGTCATTTTGTTCTGGCAATGATGGCTCATAACACCACTTTTTTGGAATACCATAAAATTATATATCAATGGAAAGATAATTTAATGAAGAATGTAATGCAATAACTTTTATGAAGGATAATTGAACAAACTTTTGAAATTTTGGAATGGCCCTAAGCCAGGAGTTGATTTTATAAGGACATCGCATCTTTAGAAGTGGGTTTTCCTGCCCCGCTCCCCAAAGCAGAACAACAGAGCACTGGGAAAGTGTTCACCCCACGCCTTTGTCTAGGGCAAGTGGACTGCAACATGGAACCCCCTGGCTGCTGCGCTGCCTTGTTGCGTGGGGGGTGGAGCGAGGCCAAAATTTGAGGATGCCTTTCCAAAGCCAGCTTGGTTAGGCGCCAGGCTTTGGGAAGGAGGTGTGAGGCTCTAAGGGGGTCCAAGTGCCCTCCCACCCCCTCCCCAAAGCTGGGAATTAGCCTTTCGGAAGAAGGTTAGAAGATTCTAGGACCTGAGGGCATTCAGACATCCCTTTTTTCGACTGGTCTTAGGAGTTCCTAAGAGTGTTCTCTTATTTGGCTATACAGTGGTGCCTCGCAAGACGAAATTAATTCGTTCCGCGAGTTTTGTCGTCTTGCGATTTTTTTCGTCTTGCGAAGCACGATGTTGGAAAAGTTTTGGAAAAGCTTCAAAAATCACCAAAGTCTTCAAAAACCTCAAGAAAGGCTACCACACCACGTGCTATGAGTTGCTCCTCGAAGTCAAGTCGCAACTGTATTAACAGTGTTAAGAAAAAGGAAACAAACTTGCAAGACGTTTCCGTCTTGCGAAGCAAGCCCATAGGGGAAATCGTCTTGCGAAGCAGCTCAAAAAACAAAAAACCCTTTCGTCTTGCGAGTTTTCCGTCTTGTGAGGCATTCGTCTTGCGAGGTACCACTGTATATGCCGGGCTAGGTCAGCACCTCTTAGAATATAGGGGTTGGATCACAGTGGTACCTCGGAAGTCGAACGGAATCCATTGCGGAAGTCTCTTCGACTTCCAAAAACGTTTGGAAACCAAAGCGCGGCTTCTGATTGGCTGCAGGAAGCTCCCGCAGCCAATCAGAAGCCGCGTTAGCCCCGTCGGACGTTCGTCTTCCAAAAGAACATTTGGAAACCGGAACACTCACTTCTGGGTTTGTGGCGTTCGGGAGCCAAAACATTCGACTCGCGAGGCATTTGGGATCCAAGGTACAACTGGACTGGTTAAAAAATTATTTTAGTACAGGCTCAGAAAGGCTGCTAACTTGTTTACTGAGATATTTGCATAATTTTACATGGTTTTCTGGAAAGCAAACTCAAACAATAGGGAATCCAATAGATTCTCTTCTCTTCCTGGATGAGTTGCATATTAGGTCATCATGAATTTCAAAACCTTTATCCTGTTCAGCCCTCTCTATGCTCATCTGCTTACTTAGGTTTGCAGCCTCATCATGAAATGACGTACAACTATTTTTATAGCTTTTTGTATCGTAGAGTTTTTATGTTAGCCCACTTGAATGGATTTCCCTCATTTGTACTGTCTGGAAGGTTCCAAAAAATACCCATCTAGAATAGACTTTGCTCTTCTGGTATGAATACACCAGATATGATATGCAATATTTTTGGACTTCCTTCTCTTTGACATTGTTTGGCGAGACCTTCTGATGACTCTTTTAAAGTAACTGCTTGCAAAGAATTTACAATCCTTTATCCACTGAGGGATGATATACCTGAAACTACTGAGATTGTTTCAGGAGATTTAGCTGAGATTTTAAAAGTCAATTTAAAAACTACTTAAGGTGGTTACTGAGTCTTTTATACGTTTCATGTGTTTAATATGTCTGGATTACCAATGTTTTGTGGATTTTTCTCTCTCTTGGTGATTTTATTGTTTAAATTATGCCAATAAAGGCTGAATGCATGAATGAGTGATCCTATGCACAACAGGAAGTAGTGTGGTGTAGTGGTTAGCGGGTTGGACTAAGACCTGAGAGACCAAGTCCCCATTTAGCTGTGAAACTCACTGGGTGACCTTCGGCTGGCTGCTCACTCTCAGCCCAAACCACCTCACAGGTTTGTTGTGTGGATAACCTGGGAGAACTGTTGTGAGCTCCACCTTGACCTCCTTGGAGGAAGCTGGGGGCGAGGGGAATATAAATTAAAAACAAACCAACTGGCAAGTTGTATCCAGACCTTAAAGCAATTTTCCATTGTAGTTTCTCCCTCTCTCTCCCCCTACAGATTTGGGTGAATGAAGAAACCAAGCTTGTCTACTTCCAGGGCACGAAGGATACCCCTCTGGAGCACCACCTCTACGTGGTCAGCTACGAGTCCCCCGGGGAGGTCGTGCGGCTCACCACCCTGGGCTTCTCCCACAGCTGTTCCATGAGCCAGGTCTGTCCCTCTAGGTCGCAGAATTCCCCATGTGTGTGGTTGGTTTCCTTTTTTTAAAAGAAAGCCAATCTCTTATTAGGAGGAGGCAACTGTGAGGACAGTGGGGTCCATAATTCTCCTCGCCAAGATGACGACAACAACAACAATTTGTTGGGTAAAACTGTGGGGCTGGTTGGAATGTCTCCCGACCCACCTTGCCGCTCTTCCTTGCCTCCCTGCAGAATTTCGACATGTTCATTAGTCACTACAGCAGTGTCAGCACCCCTCCCTGCGTCCACGTTTACAAGCTTAGCGGCCAAGAGGAAGACCCCCTCCACAAGCAGCCGAAATTCTGGGCCAGCATGATGGAAGCAGGCCTAGTGAGTAGATTTCTCTTGGCTTCCCATCAAGGGAGTTCGAGCCTGGTTTTGATTTATCTGTTGCAGTTTCACTAAAGGCTTTTTCTGCGTTGTTCCACATTTTACGTTGGGCTTCGTTGTTGGAACTATAAATCTTAAAAGTGAAAAAAAGACCAGCAAACCTGTCGAACAGCCCAGGGTATTGATGATACCACATTTTGCAGAATCTTGTACAGCAGAGCCTCTGTCGTCGAATGTGATCTGTTCAACTTCCGAAATGTTCGACAACCGAGGCTCAATTGCCGGTCGGCAATCTCAGTGGAGAAACACGCCCAGGAAGCCATTCGACTTCCGAGGCGCGTTCGAAAACGGAAGCATTCGGGTTCTGGATCGTTTGGCTTCCGAGGCGCTCGAAAACCGAGGTTCCACTGTATAGCCTTTTATTGAGAAGTATTTATGTATAATTGTGCGTATACATCAGAGGTCGGCAACCTAAGGCCTGTGGGCCACAAGCGGCCCGTGGAGGTCGTTTAACCGGCCCATGGACCCCCGCCGGCCGTTTGGTCAGCTCCCGTGCGCCACACTAAACTGGCGCGGAGCAGAGTGGGGACCGCCTTCCGCGATGCTGGCCAGCTTCCCATTGGCTGCATGAAGCTCCTGCAGCCAATGGGAAGCTGTGCATGCCTCCTCCGTGCCGGACGGAGCGCCAGAAATAGCGTTTGTGCATGTGTGCAAACACACACACACTCCGGCCGGCCGCAGCGTCTGCGGGACCATAAACCAGCCGAAGCCACAAAAACTTTGCTGACCCCTGGTATACATGGAGTATCTCTGGTGGGGGACATGTCCTGTTCCTTCTGGGGCAGTTTGCTCAACTTTGGTCCCCACCCTGCATTCAGCTCTCACCTGTGGCTCCTGGAAGCTATAAGCAGGTGACAGCGGCCACAATCCTGGAATGGCTTCGACTGGCCGACTGAACCAGGCGAGGGGAGCTGATGGGTTTCAAACCCTCGCTGAGTTAGGGTCTTCTGTGTGCGAAGATAGGCTCCAGCGGATGGAGCGGATGAGACCAAGATTGGGTCCAATGTGCAAGAAGTGGTTTCTGCCTGTGCCGTAGAAGGAAGTGAGGGGAAGGTGGGGCTTGTGGGAAGGGAGCCCATCTAGGAGAAGGAAAACTCTGATCCTAAACATCCACTGCACTTGCCTCTGTAGTCATTTGTGAGAAAGGCTTTGGGAGTAAATCTGGAGGGAAAATCTACCCACTGCCTCGCAGGGTATCTTTGGGAGAAGAAAAGGCCAAAGAGGAAACCCTGCACAAATCTGGTTGGCGCCTTGTACTCTTCCTTTTTGGCAACTCCTGCAGCCAAGCTGGTGCCGAAACATTTTGCTCTGCTTTCCTTTGGACCACTTCAGCAAGGCCGGGGTGGTGGTTCTTGTCGTCTGGGCAGTCCAGGACCTCCAGACACACTGCCCAGGCTTGTGGCCCAGGGTGCTGCTCACAAAGCGGCGCACTCCAATGTCTCACAGCGAAGCTGTGTTAAGTTCTTCGGGACACAGCATGGAGTCAGAGCTTGTCCCAAAGCTGGACCCCTCCCAAGCCTGCCCTTCCCATTTCACTTTTGAGTGGCCTTTTCTGTGTAATAAAAGGTAAAGGGACCCCTGACCATTAGGTCCAGTCGTGGACGACTCTGAAGTTGCGACGCTCATCTCGCTTTATTGGCTGAGGGAGCCAGCGTACAGCTTCCGGGTCATGTGGCCAGCATGACTAAGCCGCTTCTGGCGAACCAGAGCAGTGCACGGAAACGCCGTTTACCTTCCCGCCGGAGCGGTACCTATTTATCTACTTGCACTTTGATGTGCTTTTGAACTGCTAGGTTGGCAGGAGCAGGGACCGAGCAACGGGAGCTCACCCCGTTGCTGGGATTTGAACTGCCGACCTTCTGATCGGCAAGTCCTAGGCTCTGTGGTTTAACCCACAGCGCCACCCTTTTGTGTGTAATAGAGAGAACAATTGCCACCACTGTGGCTTGGAGACCCAGTAGAATCACTCTCATGGGGTACCCTGGGTGGTTTGTATTTTCTCCACTGCAGAACACAACATTTGATTTTTCCGTTATTAGTATTGCCATTACTTTTTTAAAAAATGCATTTATGCAATCAAAATGAGTGTGTGGCGAGATTCCATGAAGAGTGCCTCACCCATGTCTTGGGGGACTCTTCTCTCCCCTTGGCTTTTCTGCAGGCTGCCCCACTGATTACATCCCCCCGGAGATCTTCCACTTCCGCACCCAGTCGGACGTCGAGTTGTATGGGATGGTGTACAAACCTCACGACCTCCAGCCTGGAAAGAAGCATCCCACTGTGCTCTTTGTCTACGGGGGGCCTCAGGTAGGCTGACTGCTGAGCTGGAGCACCTCTGGGTTATTTGTGGGGCCCAGGAATTCGTTCATTCCCCCCCTCCCAATATAGTCTGGCCCCCCACATGGTCTGAGGGTCAGTGGACCAGCCCCCTGCTGAAAAAGTTTGCTGACCCCTGGTAGTCTTTGTTAGGATATTTCCGTTCCACCTTAAAAGGGAGAAGGCTTTGTGAGTCACAGTCTGCGTATTTCCTGTTCACAGGAAGTTTATGTTTTCTGTTGCTTTCGTTTCTCTCTCTCGGTGCCTGAACACTGAAGCAGGCGGTCATGTTTTTTTCTTTGTTCTGACCAACGCTGAACAAACTTAAATAATGCTCTCCTGCGTGCATCTTTCGCTGTGCATTATCTGCTGATTTTCTGGATATTTTCTGGATATTTCTGGAGCTCGTGTCGCTAATTGCTGATACTGCGTGTCTATGGGAGATCGATGGAAGTCCGGAGGCGACGTGGGGCCATGATGAGTCTCCCTGGCAGTATCCCAACAGTCTTAACCTCCTGCAGTGCAGTTGTTCCATACAGGGATCGAACCTGCAACCTTGGCGTTGTCAGAACCACGCTCTAACCAACTGAGCTATCCAGCTATCCCTTGGGGACCAGTAGCTGGGAACGCTTAAGTGGGGATGGCACTGTGGCTTTACGTGACCTGCTTGGGGCCATCTAGTTGTGGCTATTGCGTCAACCGCAATGCCCCGACGAGACAGGCCTTTAGCCAGTTCAAGCAACAAGGCTCTCAGTGATGCATTGTGGGCGGCGTAGGTTCTCTTGGGTGGAACGAAAAGTGGGGCGGCACTCCTGGCACTCACGAATGCAGCCGCGGAATGATGAGCGTGAGTCGTGTGCAGAGGTGTTTTTGTTGGTAAACTAGCCCCATCTGGAGAGGCCGGCTCCTCTCCCAGGCTCCCGGAGCTGGTTACCGGTGACCTCCCTGGCTGCAATCCCCGCAAGTCCAGGATAGGTCTCAATAGGTGACATCTCCCAGCGTGGGAAAATGCACACCCCCTCCCTCCTTGCTTCCCAGCAGGGAAAGGAGATAGCCAGAAATCTATTTACATATCTTTATTTCTGACTTTGCAGCACTACAGAAAACGTGTCCGATCACTTCCGTTTCCATCCAGCAAGTGACAAAGACTTCCTGTACATACGCAAGAGGAAGGTCTCAAATTACACACTGGACACAGACTCACAAAGCCTGTGAACTTCCGGGAAGTTACTTTCCCACAGCTAGCCATATCACATGATGTCAACAAGCTGACTGTCTGCAGCTGCGATGTTCTCATATTGTAACAGTTTCCCCCACCCCTTTCCTAACTCTCCCCACCTCCCAGGTCCAGCTAGTGAATAACTCCTTCAAAGGCATCAAGTATCTGAGGCTCAACACGCTTGCTTCTCTCGGCTATGCCGTGGTGGTGATAGACGGCCGGGGGTCATGCCAGAGAGGCCTTAAATTTGAGGGGGCCCTGAAGAACCAGATGGTAAGTCCCCAGTTTGCCTTGTACGCGAGAAAACCATTACGAAGCCATACGCACTGGGGGGTATGGGGTGACACACCACTTCAGATACCTAAAAATTAATAGGGATTACTGAAAACGCTGTTGGATATGCCAAAAGGAGACAAGATTTTTTTTGGTCTATATGTATAGTGGAGGTGTAGGGACGCGGGTGGCACTGTGGGTAAAAGGCTCAGCGCCTAGGGCTTGCCGATCGAAAGGTCGGCAGTTCGAATCCCTGCGGCGGGGTGCGCTCCTGCTGCTCGGTCCCAGCGCCTGCCAACCTAGCAGTTCAAAAGCACCTCCGAGTGCAAGTAGATAAATAGCGACCGCTTACTAGTGGGAAGGTAAACGGCGTTTCCGTGTGCGGCTCTGGCTCACCAGATGCAGCTTGTCACGCTGGCCACGTGACCCAGAAGTGTCTCCGGACAGCGCTGGCCCTCTTGAGTGAGATGGGCGCACAACCCCAGAGTCTGTCAAGACTGGCCCGTACGGGCAGGGGTACCTTTACTTTTACTATAGTGGAGGTGTGTGATCTAGCAGAGGCTAGGAAATAGGAAAAAATAATTGATGCTTAAGCTATGAAAGTCCAGTTTTCTTTCTGCATAGGAAAGGCCTCACACCACAAATCATTAATTTCATATATGTCAATGGTCGCGTGTGAAGGCAAACTTTGGTGCTTGTGGCCGATACAGTCATACCTCAGGTTACAGACGCTTTTGGGTTGTGTGATTTCGGGTTGCGCACTGCGCCGAACCCAGAAGTACCAGAATGAGTTACTTCCGGGTTTCGGCGCATGCACATGTGCAGAAGCGCTGAATCGCAATCCGTGCGTGCGCCGACACAGCGCTGCAGGTTGCGAACGTGCTTCCCACACGGATCACGTTCGCAACCCAAGTCTCCACTGTATGTGAAAGAAGTGATTCACTTCCTGTCAATCTGCCCTTCATACGGTGATCTGAGGGAGAGAGAGATTTCTCACAAGCCTTGTTGACATATGGAAGCAGGAATGCCCTGGTAGAAATGGTTCATTTTCTTCTGAGCGACACTAATGGCCTTTGTGGCACATAAAGTGGCCCTCTTTGCACTTGCCGTGAAAATGATTAGTGAAGGGAGAGTTAGAAAAATACTGCTGTGAATTGTTTTGGCAACTCGGAAGTTTAATTAGAAGTCGGATTTTTTTCCCCTTCCTGGTTCTTCTGTCTTTTTTGCCCCCTTGGATCCATAAACACATTCCCCTATGCCCCCTACCCTATAAAAAAAAGCGTTATTCAGAACTGCGGTTTGTAGAACCCACGAAGGAAGGTAATAACACAGTAACACTCAAACCAGTAGCAATTTATTGCACGTTTATTCAGAATCCAATAAGAAGGCTTCAGTTTAATTCAGCAAAACTGAAGAACCTGATTCAGTGATACCAGCTTTTCAAAGTCTGAGGGTCATTATCACCTCTTGTGCCTCCTTGCCCCCCCTGCCCCCCCCAAGTAATGCCAATGCCCCCCCCACTTTTGGAACCACTGCTTTATGTTATTGATGTTACATTGTAATGCACCTAAATCAGTGGTGTCCAAACTTTTTTCAAAGAGGGCCAGATTTGATGAAGTAGAGGGCCATGAGGGTTGAAGTTACTGAGTTGAGGGTTTTTTTTTAGGATTTTACCCCAGGAAATAAACTGCCACAGGGGATGGATTAGGCCCCTAAAATGGACTTTGGACATGCCTGACCTAAATGCAATGAATGGATTTACAGAGCATGACTGGAGTGCGTAAATGAGCCAGCTATCCCCAAATGAGCAGGTAGCTCTCACCTCCCTCCTTTGCCACCCGCTTCTAGGGTCAGGTGGAGATCGAGGACCAGGTGGAAGGCTTGCATTACGTAGCGGAGAAATACGGGTTCGTCGACCTCAGCCGCGTCGCCATCCACGGCTGGTCTTACGGGGGCTTCCTCTCGCTCATGGGGCTCATCTGCAAACCTCATATCTTCAAGGCAAGTTTGGAGTTTGCTGCCGTCTGTCCCAGGGCAGGTGGGGTGGGCAGCCGATACGTTGTGTAGCCTTATTATACTTTACCGATTGGTGGGCTCTGCGTTGCTCCCGGACGGGAGGAAGGAAGTCAAATGACACCGAGGGTTGGTTCAGAGAAAGAGTTCTTTATTTCTGCTCTCTGGAGCAGCAGAAAGGCACTTGCGTGGTCAGTCCACAGCAAGTCCAAAGAAATGAGAAATTTCATGCAGTATATATATTCTCCAGGCACCCTCTCCCTCCTTCCCCAGGAATCCAACCACGTCAGCCTATGTACGCAGGTTGACATCACATATGTTCCTGCTCTGGTATTCTTAACCATAAAAGGGTATTCCTTCCTATACTTCTGACCATAAAAGGATATTCCTTCCTGTACTTCTGACCATAAAAGGACCTTCCTGTTCCTACTCTTATCTTGGAGCAAGAGGTCACCATCTCCAAGAACACTCTCTGGCGCTGTTTCCAGACTAGGTCTGTGTGTCTTTTGTGGTCTTTATGGTCAGGACGTAAGATAAGGCACAGATGTGTCTTCCCTGTTCTACTGGTACAGTCAAGGCCATCCTTGCCGTCACAAACTGATAAAGGTGAGGGCTCTGAGCACTTGTCCATACAGCAGGTTCTTGTTTGTACATTGACTCAGAGCTCAAGTTAATGTATTTTAGCTAAGGGAAAATAGGGATTTTGGTGCCTATTTTAAACTGCCTGCACAGTCAGTTTTTGGGTTTGGGAAACCCATTCCTTCAGTTGCGCTCCAGAGATGGTTACACTGCAACTCCCCGCTGTCCCTGCCAGTCGCTAGGTAGCGTGCGGGGAAGCCTGTCTCTTTTGGAATCCCTGCTCCCATCAGGGAGGATGGAAGTATCAACATCTGGAGAGCCACAGGTTCCCTCTCTGTGCTGAAGGTAGAGTGAAGACTCAGACGCAAATGATCTGCTCCCAGCGCTGCAGGGGAGTAGATCTCACTGTACGAGCAACTCCTTTTGCCCTGCGCCACCCTAAGTTTTTAAAAATAAAGAAGCCAACCGTGCGTGATTCCACGAGATCACAGAAAGCCTGCCAACAAAAAAACCAACAACCCAGGAGTCTGCACAGGACTTGTCGTCTTGTGAAATACAGCTGTATGTATGCAGAGATATGCTCTCCCCATGGAGACTCGCTTGGTGCCTTCATTACAAACCTTTAGGCACTTGGTGGTCCTGTAAAATAATTAAGGAATATTGGGAAACTATATATAATGAATTGAAGAAGATGCTTTAAAAAGCTTTCCCGAAATCACCTGAGATTTTTCTCTTGGGGATGGCAACCTTTAAAGCCCTATATGGCCTAGGACCCTCGTACCTATGGGACCGCCATAGGTATCTCCTGGTATGTCCCACAGAGGAACTTACGGTCTTCAAACAAAAACACCCTGAAGGTCCCAGGCCACAGAGAGGTTAGGCTGGCCTCAACTAGAGCCAGGGCCTTTTCGGCTGTGGCCCCGATCTGGTGGAACGCTCTGTTACAAGAGACTAGGGCCCTGCAGGACTTGACATCTTTCTGCAGGGCCTGCAAGACAGAGCTGTTCCACCAGGCCTTTGGCCAGGGCACAGCCTGACTCCCTCCTTTGGCAATCTTCACAGAACTTTAGCCTAATGGTTGCCATCAATTTGATTTGAATTAATTTTATAATGAAATGATTTTAGAATGTTGTACTATTTTATTGTTGTTAGACGCCCTGAGCCCGGCTTCGGCTGGGGAGGGCGGGATATAAATAAAATTTATTATTATTATTATTATTATTAACAATAGAGGTCCCCAAAAAAACCAGAAGTTGACTACTATATGCCTGTGCTGCAGCCACAAAGGAAGATTAAAATGTTTGAATATGCTGAACTGGCTGGTCTGACGAACAGGATAAGAGAAAACGAAAATAAGGAATATAAGGAGGAATGTATAGTGTCTATTGACTATTTCAAGAACCGGTATAGACAGATACATAGCTTAGCAGGTCTTGTGTAAATCCAGCAGAGTTGAAGTAGAGTTTTTAATAGATAACAAATTGGATGATTAAAAAGATGTGGATTACGCAGAGTAGTAGAAAAGCAAAGGAACCAGGAAAAGGGTGGAAGGGAAGTCATGTGGTACGTGTATACATGCTGTATTTGGTATGAAGTTGTAAGAGCGGAAGGGGGGAGGGTTAAATTTGCAATCTGTTCCAGTTTTTGAAAATGCAAATAAAAAAATAAAAAAAGCAAACAAATCTTTAGGCACCAGCTGAAAACATTTCTCCCAGGCCTTTGGCTGATTCAGTGAACTGTGGCCTTTAAAACAGGGCTGCTGCTGCTGGTATGGATTTGTTTTGTTATGGCGTTACGTATTCTATGATTTCATAATATAAACCACCCTATGATTCTCAGATCTTTATATAAAATCAATAAATTGTGCAAGTTGCAGAATGAGTTTTGCAGATTGCAGAATCTGGCTTCCTCAGGCAACTTAATGTGGGGGGGGGGGAGAGAGAGAAGCGTGTATTGCCTGTCAGCCATGAGTGTAACCTCAGCCTTCAATATCCCTCCAGGTTGCTATCGCAGGGGCCCCCGTCACGGTCTGGATGGCGTACGATACTGGATACACCGAACGGTACATGGATGTCCCAGAGAACAACCAGCAAGGCTACGAAGCAGGCTCTGTGGCGCTGCATGTAGAGAAACTCCCCAATGAGTAAGGGTTATAAGAATAATAATTTATTATTTATTATTTATACCCCACCCATCTAGCTGGGCTTCCCCAGCCACTCTGGGCGGCTTCCAACAGAATATAAAAATACAGTAATACATCAAACATTAAAAGCTTCCCTAAAAAGCCTTCAGGTGTCTTCTAAAAGTCAGATAGTTGTTTATTTCCTTGACATCTGATGGGAGGGCATCCCACAGAGTGGGTGCCACCACCGAAAAGGCCCTCTGCCTGGTTCCCTGTAACTTGGCTTCTCACAGCGAGGGAACAGCCAGAAGGCCCTCAGAGCTGGACCTCAGTGTCTGGGCTGAATGATGGGGGTGGAGATACTCCTTCAGGTATACAGGACCAAGGCCGTTTAGGGCGTTAAAGGTCAGCACCAACACTTTGAATTGTGCTCGGAAACGTACTGGGAGCCAGTCTAGGTCTTTCAAGACGGGTGTTATGTGGTCTCTGTGGCCGCTCCCAGTCACCAGTCTGGCTGCCGCATTCTGGATTAGTTGTATTGGATTAGTTGGGTTGTGGGGCATCAGTGCTGGTGAGCGGCGGGGGCAGAGCAGGGTGTGTTGTCCCAGCAGCCTGGTCCCAGCTAGCACAGACCCTCCCCGGCTGATGGGGAAGCAGCAGTCGGCCATGCGGTTTCGTGTGTTCTGGAGGAGTTGGGGGGATGTCCCTACAGTCAGCGAGGCAGCGTAGGAGGCCTTAAATGCACTATGCGAGTACTAGAGAAATACATGCTCTCTCGACATTCCTCAGGTGGAAATAGAACAGAGCGGGGGGGGGGGGTCCAGCAGGTCGATCGGGAGGTGGGCTCCTTTTCCTTTGCTGTGGCATAAGAGCATCTGGCCCTGTCCTCCATCCTCCATCTCAGCATAATCGCTGGAACGGAAGATGGAGTTTTCGCTGTGAGGCAGATTGCTTTCTTAGTGATCTTTTGGTGAGCGAATTTTCTGCTTTCCCCTTTACTCCATTCTGACATTTTCCTCCCCGCAAAAAGCTCAACAACTTTGAGTTGAACCCCCCAAAAACGGGACTTTCCTCCCTTAATAAGAAGCTCAACAACTTTGACTTGAACTCCCCTAAAACAGGATAGATCACTGCCAGTTTTGTACTTTGTGAGTAGATCGCAGTCTCTTGGGAGTTGGACGCCCCTATAATAAAGGTAAAGGGACCCCTGACAGTTAGGTCCAGTTGTGGCCGACTCTGGGGTTGCGCCGCTCATCTCGCTTTATTGGCCGAGGGAGCAGGCGTACAGCTTCCGGGTCATGTGGCCAGCATGACTAAGCCGCTCTTGGCGAACCAGAGCAGCGCACAGAAACGCCGTTTACCTTCCCGCCGGAGTGGTACCTATTTATCTACTTGCACTTTGAGGTGCTTTTGAACTACTAGGTTGGCAGGAGCAGGGACCGAGCAACGGGAGCTCACCCCGTTGCGGGGATTCGAACCGCCGACCTTCTGATCGGCAAGCCCTAGACTCTGTGGTTTAACCCACAGTGCCACCCGTGTCCCTGTAGTAGAGTTTCCTTATTTTCATCTGAGGAATATTGGACTGTATGGAAAAGAATTCTTTCTTCTTCTGGCCTGCCATATCAACCGCTTGTCTGGGGAATTTTGGGAAAGCTGGAGAGTTTGGGGATTGATTTTTATTTTTTAATAGCGGTGGGTGGGGTGAGGTGGATTGTCTGAAGTGGCGCAAGGGTTCAAAAAAGCATGGCATGATTTTTGCCTGCTGGTCACCTTGTGTCCATTGCCCTGGACATTGAACACCCAAGTGGTCCAAACTCCTCTCTGCCATGAACAGCCGCAAACACTGGTGCCCAGCTTGGCTCTCACGTTTGGTACTTTCCTTGCCTTCTTTCTAGGCCCAATCGCCTGCTGATCCTCCATGGATTTCTGGATGAAAACGTGCACTTTTTCCACACCAATTTCCTGATCTCCCAGCTGATCCGAGCAGGGAAACCTTATCAACTACAGGTGGGTCGAGCTGGCGAACTATCCAGCCCATCCCTTTCCTCTTGGGCTGGGCTTCAGGTGGGGTCGTTCTCTCCTGGCCTGGCCTACCCTGCAGGGTTGCTTTGAATAAAGTGTGGGAGGAGGGTGGAGACGTGGGCAGGGCAGGGCACTCTTTGCCCCCTTGAGCTCCTTAATAATAATCATCATAATAAATTTTTATTTATACCCCGCCCTTCCCGGTTCAAAAACCGGGCTCAGGGCGGCTAACAACAAATTTAAAACACTTTAAAACGCTTAATTATAAAAGCAGCGTAACATACAGTATAAAAACATGAATAACAATAAAAATCAAAAATCAATTAGATAACCCCCAGGGCTAGCTGGCTGAATTGGTCCTACTTGGGCCAGCGAGGAGGCCAGGGGAGAATTAGCTGTGGGGTCTCAGAGCGGGTGATCTTCATAAAAGGGGAGGGGGAGGGAAGAGAAGGGATTAAAAGATCAGGCGGAATTCAGATTAAAGGCCAGGCAGAATAGCTCTGTTTTACAGGCCTGACGGAAGGAGATTAAATCCTGAAGGGCCCTGGTCTCCTGGGACAGAGCATTCCACCAGGTCGGAGCCATCACTGAAAAGGCCCTGGCCCTGGTGGAGGATAGTCTGAGTTCCTTAGGGCCCGGGACCTCTAAACTTAGAAAGGCAGGGTCTAAATTTAGTAAATGGTGGAACCTTGGTTTTCAAACGTCTTGGCTGCCGAACAATTCGGAAGCTGAACGCCGAAAACCTGGAAATAACTGTTGCGGTTTTCGAACGATTTTCGGAAGCCGAACACTCTACGCAGCTTCCATTTTGAGTTTCCCTATTGTATTGCTTTCAGTTTTCAGTTTTCGAACGTTTTGGAAGTCAAACTGTCTTCCGAAACGGATTACATTCAAAAACCCCACTGTATTTCTAATTCTGCTCTGGGAAATTTATTTATTGGATACATGGAATGTGCAGATTTCAGCTGATGCATGCATATTCCCCCGAGGCTTGTCAGAGGTTATGCGTATTGGTGGGAAAATCAGTTTGTTTATTATGTGCAGTCCATTTTCAACCCCAGAGTGGGGGACTGACTGATAAAAACAAATAAGGGGGAAATTAATACACAAGATCATATTAACAAGACCGAGAAACAACGGAATGATTCTGTCTCAAGATAAACAAGCAAAAATTACTACATCATAAATCCAGCTACCCTCCCGTTCGGTTATCCAAACATAAAGAATTATGCCCATACCTTGCTATATTATTATTTTAAAATATATATATATATAACACCTTCATCCACAAGGTGGTTTACAATTTAAAAAACACAAAATTCATACCATAATAAACAAAAACAATGCCCCCTGAGTTTAAGAGGCCATAGATTGATTGTTTTTGCTTGGCGGATAAAGATATGTAACAAAGGCGCCAGGCGAGCCTCCCTGGAGAGAGCATTCCACAAACGGGGAGCCACTGCAGAAAAGGCCCTGTTGCGAATGAGGCACACGGAGAAGGGCCTCAGATGATGAACGCAGTGTCCAGGTCTGTTCACATGGGGATTCGGATTTAGATATCAGGAACAGCCAGAGCTCGCCCACTTCCCTACTTCTTTGCTCCTTTGTGCTTTGCTGGTTGGTGGCAGCCATTTTTGGGCATAATCCATGGGGGGGGGTGGAGCAGGGGGAGAGTGATTGGACAAATCAGAGGGCAGGAGCGACCGGACAAATTGCAGGCTGGAAACGTTCCCACGGGAATCGGTGGAAATTGTGGGCTCCTCGTGCGAACGCTTGCCTAACGGGATGATTTTCTAGGGGAATGCGCACTGTGTTTGGTGAACGAGACCTGGCGTGTGTTTCCAGTTTAGCAAAACCTGGGCCTCAAGGTCAGCAGGGCTGCCAGGTAGTGATGTGCTGGCCTCCCTCCTGGGTTCTCCAGGTTGCGCAGATTTCCTGGAACGATTCCTGCATTGCACCCCCACAATGCTGTGATTATATCTGCTTTTTCCGCGAGGCCCAGTGAATGTGTACAGCTCACAATGACCACTCAACCTACCGTATTTTTCGCTCCATAGGGTGCACCTGACCATAGGGCGCACCTAGTTTTCAGAGGGGGAAATCAAGGAAAATATATGACACCCCCCCCCCCAGCTCTGGGAGCAGCGGACAGGCTGCGCGCAGCCTGTGTGCTTCTCCCAGACCTTCTCCCTGCTTTTGCGGGAGGTGGGGGAATTCCCCCATCTCCCGCAAAATCCCACAGGAGCCGCACGCCCTTTAAGGAGTGCATGGCTCCTGCGGGCTTTTCTACGAGGAGGGAGAAGGGACTGACGCGGCCAGTCAGCCCCTCCTCCCTCCTTGGGGAAAAGCCCCCAAGAGCCGCACACATGCTCCATGCAGCTCTTTAAAGGGAGCGCTGAGCAGAGCCTCCCGCCTGCATTCGCTCCATAAGATGCACACACATTTTCCCTTGCTTTTTAGGAGGGGAAAAGTGCGTCCTATAGAGCGAAAAATACGGTACATTTTGCCTAATGAGGTCCGAAAGCTTCTAATCTCTTCCTGTTTCCCACCTCCCCTCTCCCCTTCCTTGTGTGCAGATCTACCCCAACGAGCGACACAGTATTCGCTGCCCTGAGTCTGGGGAGCACTACGAAATCACGCTGCTGCACTTTCTTCAAGAATACCTCTGAGGACAGGGGGGGGGGGGAACGGCACGGTGTGGGGCGTGGACAGGGGCTGCTGTCTCCCTGCCCACCCGCAACTCGACGTAGACGCTGAAGACTCGCTCCTCCTCTGGCCTCCTTTTTTTGCCCCAACCTCTCCCCATGCCCTCCAGCAGCCTCCCGATACCCAGAGCACCTGTCCGTGTTGCCCTACCTGGGCCCTGAATTCACGAGGGGCACCGAGACCCCTCACCCCCTGCCCAACTGGATTGGCACTGCTCTGCCTTGTCCCTCCAGCTTCTCTTTTAAAGTTCTCCTTCTCTCTCTCTCTCTGCCCCCCCAGAACCCCTTCTCTGTTTTGCTGCTACTTTTTGGGCCGGGAATAAAAGTCGAGCGCTCCCCTGCCCTCGTGTCCCGCCCCCTACATCTCCAGTACTGTCTTGTGTCCCTCTTAAACTCCCCCCTCTCCTTTCCTTTCCTCTCCCCACTGAGTCCTGCGAGAGAGCTTTTCTGGGGCTCGGAAACAGACCAGCGCTTGGTGCTGTGCTGCCAAGATGTGGGCGCAGGGGGGGGGGGTAGGCTGGTGGGGGGGGTGACGATGCCTCTGTCCTTGGTGCTGTGGCTTCCTGGCTGTGTCCTGTGGCAAATTCAGGCTCTCGGAAGGATTTGGGCAGGTGTTTGTGTGTTTGGGCTCCCCACTTAAGAAGGCTTTGCTGTTCTGACTTCTCTCTCCGTAACCCTTGCGTCATTCCCCTGTCTGAAACACACCCTTCTTTCCCCTAAGGCAACCGTGTCCAGAAACTTCAGTCACTTCTGGATGGAAAAAAAGGGGGGGGGTTCTAGGGGGTTTTTTCGCAGCCAGATTTATTTATGCAAATACGGCTCCCTCTGTCCACTCTCTCTGGCTTATAGGCACTGCCCCCCCCCCGTCTCGCCAACCCTTCGCCTCCGCCTCCCAAGCCCTGAGCTTCCAGCCTCCAGCCCCACAGGCGTGGTCAGTTCTCTGCGGGTCAGCGACTGTATCCCCCCACCCACCCCCTGTTCTAGCAACACCTCTTGCCCGTTGGTTCTCCTCCTCCCCCTGCCCCACGACCCACCTCCTCTGGTCTTAGGGCATCCCCGCAACACAGCCTGAACCGCGATTTGGGTTGGTTTGTAAAGAAAGGCAGGGGCGCCCGTGTGCCAGGCTTCGCCACAACTTACGCCTCGTGGGAAGAAACACACACACACACACACACCCTCGCCTGCTTGCTCACACCCTCTGGGCTCTCCCCCCCCCCCAAACACACATTCTTGCCTCTCAGGGGTGGGGCAGAATTTCAAGCGAGGAGAAACTTGCCTAAAACGAAACGAAAAACCCACGAACCACAAACGACTTGCCCCCAAGTATCTTTAAGTGCGTATTATGAAAAGAAAATATTTTTATGGATTCTTATTCTTTTATAATTATGAGGTGTAACATGTAGTTACTCATTAAAATATTGGAAATTGGCGCAGCGCTTCTCTCCCGGCGTGGTTTTGTCCCCCCCCCCCCCCGTTGGCCGCAGGCAAAGTGGAGTATGGGGTGTGCGTGTTTGGAAGCGCATGCCAGCTTGCCAGTGCCATTTCTGGCTTTTGAACACTGTGTTTCTTTCTCTGGGGCATAGAAACATTGCAAGCCGCCCCATACGAAGCCAGGCCATTGCTCCATCTAGCGCAGTGGTGTTAGGGAAAAATCTGGGTGTGAGGCTGCGCAGTCACCCAGCTGGTCGGGCAGAGCCCGCGGGTCCCTGCGGAATAAAAGAAGGATTCCAGCCACTAACCGGAGCAAATAGCTGTAGACCAAAGTTTATTGCGCAATAGGTTCAAAGACCAAAATTTGAACCCCGAGGATGGACTTTTAAAACTTTCCCACCATATCCCAGAATACAGTTCGTACAGCATCATTGCTACATCACTGACATGTCACCAAAGGGGAGGGGTTAACCTTGGCAAACATGTCCAGACGAGTCCTTGGTATGAGATTAGCATAAGCAGACATGGCAGAGCAAGACTCAGGTATAAGATTAGCATAGACAAATATGTCTTAAGTACCCACCACCCAAAAGTACAATAGAAGTTCCTTTTTTCATGTCTGGAGCCTGAGGCGAGTCAGGTGATGAGATTTGGCTTCCTTTGGCTAAGGATGAGCCCAGCAATTGTCACCTCTGGGAACTTCCTGGAGTCCTTTTTCAAGGGGAAAATAGCTTTGGAATGGAGGAAACTGGCAAAGGAGATGATTTTATATTATTTTTTAAAGCTAGGTAACTTCCCTGAGCTGTCAAGTTGAAAGGATATATTCAGGCATAATATTTGTAATATTTAACTTTAAAGATGTCCCCCCCCCCAGTGATGTCTGCACTGACTGGCAGAAGCTCTCCAGCAGTTCAGGCAGGAGACATTCCCAACCTTACCTGGCAATGCTGTCAGGATTTGAACCTGGGACCGTCTGCTTGCAAGGCAGATGCTCTCCCTGAGCTCTGTCCCTTCCCCAAACATCCTTTGCTCCCTCACCTTTCCCTCTTTTTTAAAAAAGAACCCCACACTTTACATCCTTCATCACCAAAGGATGGAAGCAGTGACAATACCTAGGATTTCTAAAAGCACCACAGTTCTTACCCTAATTTAAGTAATTGGCAAGCCTTGTTAAGTTGGTTCATTCCCATTTCAAGTAGAAAATTGTTTTTATATGTGTTGGAAGCTGCCCAGAATGGTTGGGGCAACGTAGCTAGATAGGTGGGGTATGAAGAAGAAGAAGAAGACGACGAATTGCAATAAAAATATATTCATATAAACTAGTACAGTGGTACCTCTGGTTACGTACTTAATTCGTTCTGGAGGTCTGTACAGTGGTACCTCGCAAGACGAATGCCTCGCAAGACAAAAAACTCGCTAGACGAAAGGGTTTTTTGTTTTTTGAGCTGCTTCGCAAGACGATTTTCCCTATGGGCTTGCTTCGCAAGACGGAAACGTCTTGTAAGTTTGTTTCCTTTTTCTTAACACCGTTAATACAGTTGCGACTTGACTTCGAGGAGCAACTCATAGAACGTGGTGTGGTAGCCTTTTTTGAGGTTTTTGAAGACTTTGGTGATTTTTGAAGCTTTTCCAAAACTTTTCCGACACCGTGCTTCGCAAGACGAAAAAAATCGCAAGACGACAAAACTCGCGGAACGAATTAATTTCGTCTTGCGATGCACCACTGTACTTAACCTGAAACTGTCCTTAACCTGAAGCACCACTTTAGCTAATGGGGCCTCCTGCTGCCGCTGCGCCGGCAGAGCCCAATTTCTGTTCTCAACCTGAAGCAAAGTTCTTAACCCGAGGTACTATTTCTGGGTTAGCGGAGTCTGTAATCTGAAGCGTATGTAACCTGAGGTACCACTGTAGCAGACACAGCAGAATGAGGTTGTGTGGTTTGTTTTTTTTTTAAAAAAAGGCAACCAAAACACAGATATGTAAAACACGTTTTACAAATAGCAAGAAATGCAGGGGAAATTGACAGCAATGAAAGCAGGAAATCGACAACCCCCAAAATGGTCCCTGCATTGTCGCTGGCCCTCAAAACTTAGATTTCTGTCCTTGTGAACTCACATTGCTCGGTCCCTGCTCCTGCCAACCTAGCAGTTCGAGAGCACGTCAAACTGCACGTAGATAAATAGGTACCACTCTGGCGGGAAGGTAAACGGCGTTTCCGTGTGCTGCTCTGGTTCGCCAGAAGCACCTTAGTCTTGCTGGCCACATGACCTGGAAGCTGTACACCGGCTCCCTCGGCCAGTAAAGCGAGATGAGCGCCGCAACCCCAGAGTCGGCCACGACTGGACCTAACGGTCAGGGGTCCCTTTTCCTTTACCTTTTGCTGTCAGTATTTTCCTTGGCAAGGAATGGAGAAAAGAGAGTTTTGCCACATGCATCGACTTAACCACATTTCTAGCCCATCGTTCATCCAAAGGTAACATGGTGCAAATGCACAACATTGAGATCAATAATATTAGGCTTAGCTAGACCCAGAGTTGGACAGCTGGCGGGTTTAGTGGGGCGTTTCTGAGTCCTGCCTACACCACACATCTCCACCAGAGTCGCACTATGACGTACATCTCGTCCGTATGGGGATGGCAAGGACACGGCATCTTGAAATCCCTCTCCCCACCTCTGTTTATGGGGTCTTGGCGATGCTTTCAGAGTTGTGGGAACCAAGCCTTGCAAGGAACAGTTGTGGGCCTTGGAGATGAGACCAAACAGTGACATGAGAGCCACCTTCAAATATCTGAAGGGCCTTTGTCACATGAAAGATGGTGCAAGCTGGTTTGCTGCTGCTGTTCTGGGGTGGGGTGGGGTTTAAACCCAATCCAAAGGTTTCAAATCACAAGAACGGAGATAGCAACAAAATCTTAGGAGGAACCCTGCTGGAGGTAAGAGCTATTGGACAGTGGAAGGGACTGCAGGATATTTACAATGCAGTCGAACCCAACAAGACAATCTCACCTTGCTCTTTGCCCTCACTCCAGCAGTGTAGAACACAACCTATGCCTGAGGCTCCATCTTAAAATAGATTAAAGCAGGGGTCAGCAAACTCTTTCAGCAGGGGTCCTTGTGGGGGACTGGACTATATTGGGGGGGGGCGGGAATGAATGAATTCCTATGCCCCACAAATAACCCAGAGATGCATTTTAAATAAAAGGACACACTCTACACACATAAAAACACGCTGATTCCCAGACTGTCCGTGGACTGGATTTAGAAGGTGATTGGGCCAGATCCGCCCCCCGGGCCTTAGTTTGCCTGCCCATGGATTAAAGTATGTCTTTGTAACGGAGTTACCATTTTAAGCCTGCCTGAACAAAGCTGCTGTTATCTGTTCCTCTTCAACAAGTATTGCGAGTGAGTAAATGTTATTTTTTTTACCTTTTGCAAGACTATTTTTTACCTATTACAAGGCTATTTTGTGTGTAATTGTTATATTAGGAGGGAGGGAAAAAGCGGTGGGGGATACCAGGAGACCCCAGTCTTTCCTTATAGCATCCTGGATTACTTAAACTAAAAGTCTAAAACTAGCCTATTTAAGCTTCCCTACTGAACTCACAAACATGAGGAAGGAAGGCTATATCTAATAAAGCATCTATACACATCCCTAAAGGTGTTGGACTCTCCTGTTATGTATTCAGTGGTCTTTGTTTGCCTGAGCTGGAGTCTGGACTAAGGAATCTGAGCTCCTGTGTTCTGATTTGATACGTGTTGTCCAATCACGGAACATTTCAGGATTTGGGCCTCTGCCATTGGCCCTTGTACTCTCAGCCGTGATTCGCAGCTTGGAAGTTTAAACAGCCAATCACGTTGGGAGTGGGAGTGGCGCAGGCTTTCATAAATGTATAGCAGCAGTTGCTTTGCCCCTGTTTCCCAGTTATGTTGTTCAATGAGGCGTTCACAAAGTAAAGGAAGGATTGAACTCTGATTAATAAGAATACACAGAGAGGCTTGAACCAGCAAGACTCTGGGAAGGGTGCGTATAATAATCTCTGCCTCTAGCCCCTGGCCCAGGTCGTTTTATTCACAAAAGAACTTTTTACAGAGTGTTTGTAAGAACCAATCAGATTTCTTCTGAGCATTTCAACAAACCCACGTGGGGACAAGTTAAACTAATTAAGCACACATATTTCTGGGGTAAACAAATAACAGAACTACAAAGGAGGACATTTGGCAACCCTGGGAGGTGATAAACAATCAATACATATGATAAGAAGGATGGCCAGGAGGACAGCGATCATTATCACCTTCATGTGAGGTCGGTTTCCTGGCCCTAAGATTAACATCCTAGGATTAACATATCAGAAAGGCTACATCAAAGAAACTGCCCACTATCTTTGATGACCCAAGACGCCTGCCTGTCTAAGCAACTGGGCTGTGTACGTGACTTGTGAAGAGAGAGACATGGGCAGTAGAGGAAATGGCCAGAGATGCAGAGGGTTGTGGGATTTGATCAGAAATTATTGTCAATGTATCAAACCCAGTCAACACTGTTCAGGGAAGTTTTTAATGCATGACATATTAGTATATATTTGGTCTTTGTGGAAGCCGCCCAGAGTGGCTGGGGAAACCCAGCCAGATGGGCAGGGTACAAATAATAAATATTATTATTATTATTATTATTATTATTATTATTATTATTATTATTATTATTATCTTTGAATATTAGAATTGATATGGTTAATAGGTAGTGATGACAAAGTAATCAAAATCAAAAACCTAACTCCTATCTCCCTCCAGCTTATCTTGTTGTGAGATAAATATAACTTCCTAAAACAGAAAATTATTAAAAAATAATATTTTTAAATATAATAATAATATTTTACAAACTAGGGGCAGTAGACCAGGACTCATAGTAGTCCTTGGCAAAGCAAAACCATCAGGACTACATCAAACCTAGGCTAAGAATGAACATAATCTCTTTCAGAGGTGAAGAATGAGCAACTGTCAGGAGTGTA